AAAACAACTACACAGATCTCTTTTAACTTTAGAGACAGGCACATAAAGATGCGACCACGTCACTTAGTTGATTTAATTTTATTGATGTACCGAACACATCTTTACGAGACTCGGAGATAATAATTGAAAATATCAGCGCATTAGCCATTCGATTGCTACACACATTGGTAACATTTCGCATAATAGCGTCCATATAAACTTTATTTAACTTATGAATAAGAGGCTTATCGCGGAGTCGTTACGATCTTCATACAATATCTAAAGAATGCATTTAATATCACCAGCGTCACTAATTGATACATCGGGAGATAAATTTTTAAAGAACCCAAATCATATCACAAATGAAAATAAACTCGAAATGGACGCATCTGCGAAGGTAGGACTCACAGGCCAGTTTATCAAGATGGGTAAATGTTCGCAATTAGCCATGTGAAATGTCGCATACACTTGCTAACGAGATCGCTGTATACTTGTGTGTGTTTCCGTTCATGTGTGTGTAATATAGAATAAATGGATACAAAATAGCACTCACAGTATGTTGTCTGATGAGTTTTTTAATATATCTTTAACTAATTTAAAATATTACAAAGGACAAAATAAAAAACATATTTTATATGACAAATCGCAATAATTAAATGATGTATTTTAAGCAAAGTGAATTTAATAAATCATTAAAAGTTTTCGAACGAACTAAAGAATTACAGACTACAGTGTAAATTTTTGTCATTAAGGATTAAATAAATCTGTGCTTTATTTCCAACATTGTTTTCTGAACCCCTTGTATAACGTATCGACCCACAGCTGATTTATGGCCCCTTTATATAGCCCCTAAAGTTTTCTAGTTGTGTTCAGCGTCATCTCGACAATCTTTACTGTAATTAGCGTGAGCTTATGAGAATTTCGTGTTGATGAGGCACCCATGTAATTTTATGGTCCTGAAGTTATTTTAACATGTTAATAGTTTACGTATGTGTATGATTAAATACTGTTAAGTGTTTACATATAAAATTAATTCCTGAAATATTTTAATTTAATAAATTGAAATATTTCATGTAAACGTTTGATAAATGATAATTCGTATAAATTACAGCGTCCGACGATTACGGAAAGTGAAATTCTAAATTTTCTCTGTAATTCTAAATGTTTGTAATTTTATGTAAATTGCAACACGGAGCATTGTTTTGCAGAAACAAGAGAGATTCGTTCAATTGATAATAATAGAAAATTATGCACCACAGTAGCTGGCAGCTATATTGTACCACTATAAATGTAATCAGAATTATAGTTTACCAAAGTTCAGGTGACTGTAAACGTATAGGAAAAGTAAAATATCTAGGAAGAATGAAAGCTTACTAACCGTACAAGTCTTAGTTATGGTTTATTAAGATAATTTTCTATTCACTTTGATATGTTTAAAAGTAATAACTATTGTTGTAATCCCGTACTATCAAACAGATTTCAAAAAGAAAGTAATATTTTAAGTCTACCTATATATAGCTTAAAAAAATTGACTGTCGCGTTGCATGATTACTATTGATTTTTTAACTTATACATAGTCAACTTTAAAATTATATATTTATGTATATAAATGCATTTATAAAGTATTATAAATTTTATTTACCTGTTTTTTATTTATCTATCAGGGGTAAGAAAAGTAAAGATTAGTATAAAAAATATATAATGTGGGCATTGATTGAACTACCAACATAACAAAATAACGGTTAACATTACGTTGTTAACTTATTAGTGCGTAAGGTACTTTGTTTCACTTTGTTTGTTAAGGGCAAGAACTATATAAAAATATCAAAAAAAATCCATACACTCTATATTTAGTACGTAATTTAAACAGCAATAATAACTTCTAATCCAATTCTTTTTGGCAAAGTATAATAATTTTTTCTTCATTTACATACCTAGGTATTATTTAATAAACATGTTAGGGTGTTGACACATATTTGAAAATAAAACCAACCTATTGTGTTATACTTATTAGAATAATATTCTGCCCCTTAAGCTTTTAACGTTTAATATTATCATTTATGATTACTCGGAGGTTTTATAACGCTATAAATGTTGTTCAATGGCCACCACAGTTTTATGGCCCCTGGCTAGTTCCATTGAAGTTTTGTCAAGTCTAATAGATATGCTAAATAACAACGGGCCCACGGGAAATATATTCAAATATAATATGTTAATTTACACATTAAGCAATTTGTTTGACATCTATAATTATATATAGATTATTATTATTTTCAATAAGAAATGCATTGTAGGTGGAAAATGAAACTAATTTTAGACAAGCCCTTGTTCGCGACAGGTAGATCAAAGACGACATTACCATATACCTGACCGCGCATAAACAATGTAGCGAAGCCAATTCCTCAGATGATTCGTATTGTAATTTTTGAATAATTAATGAATATTTTATATAATATGAATACCAATATACAATTTTATGGTATTACAATAGGCATAAACTGAATATGAACACATCTTACTGGCTCGTTACTATGTAATCCCAAAAATATAATGTCGAGTTAAGTGATTGTATACATAGATTCTTTAAAGGGCCTTGTGTACCTAATATCTATAATAAAAATTATTTTAAGACTTACTCGTGTCTAACTTATCTGCCAAACATGGTAGGACTAGTAAAAAACCATGAACATTATGTTGTGAATGCAACTTATTACTTAACTAGTAGCGAACAAATAAATGGGGAAAACCTATGTTATATTTCAACATGATTAATCGTAGAGTTAATTTCTTTCATTGACTCGTTATTTAGTGATTTTTTAGAAGATATGATAAAAGGGAAAATTAAACTATATTGAAGATATTAGAAGTAGGTAAATATAGCTAAGTAGTACGTCGTTCTGTCTATAGTATCTCTATCACAAATCACTGGCTGATTCTGATATGGCGTACGTCAGGTGCCCAAAACAACAAAATTCCCATTCGACAATAACAACGTCGAGCAGTTCTTATGATTGATGACCCAGTTTCAACAGAGTAATTATTCGTAAGGATCTAAATAACTATGAATATGTTATTCCTTAATTTGTATAATGGTTATTGCCAATTTCTTTTTTTTTGACAACCGCACTATCACACATCTCTGTCCGCAATGTTTGTCTCAGGGAGGGATATTTGCAGCTTTAAGATTTTCTCAAATATTTTATTTATGAATAAAAGAAAGCTTTTTTCAGCCACTGATCTTTAAATTAACCGTTTGTTATCTTATCACCTGTCTTTATTTTATGCACGTATTATTTGATTGTCACTCGTTAATAAAAGGTAAACTTTTCTGACAAAAACTTTTTTCAAAATTTTGGTGAATAAAGTCGACTATGTACAATCTATGTATGTACTGCGTTTATAAGTAAATATGTATTAATAAACGATCTTTATTTACATAAAATTGAATCAATTATACTTCTACAGAAACTTATGATGAAAATAAATTTATTAGGGTTTCAAATTGAAACTATTAGTTTAATTACGAAAAAATTTAATTGAAATTTTAATCCTTTTTTATAACTCGATTAAAACAGAAGTCTATGAAGATCGTTTTGCTGGTGGTTGAATTGAAACGTGTTCCATTTTAAGTTGGTAATTAAGATCAATTTATATCAATTATGTAAATTTTAATGTAAATCAAAATCAGTTGAAAATAAATTTTCCATTAAACGATTTGTAATCAATATTGAAACCTGTTCTTGTACAATCAAAGATCTATCGAATATCCTAATTAATGTGACAACTGTTGTGGAAAATATGGATACATGCTGAAAACTGTTACTAATTAATTCTTATAATGACGCCCTCAATTATCAATTACAATTTTTATGGACACTTAAAATGTTATGGGGCATATTATATTACAAGCCCACATAGTAATTTGCGTATATTTGCGCACACGACTGTCGACCCCTTGTAAAGAACCCTTCACCTTTCACCCTTGTCCATGGGTCAATATCAATGCAACCCCCTCAATCATCTAGCGATTTATCTTTCAACATTTTATCAACGATGTAATGATTAATAATATGAATTTTAATGAAATTCACATAAAAAAGATTGAAATGTTTATCATCCGTTTTATTTCATGGTCTCTTAAAACATTTGTATAGATAATGTTATGGTAGTCTCATAACATAATAACCATAAAACTAACAGTTTGTTAATGTTTACAAACATAATTAATCAGTTATAATAAATTATTCAGTGACTAAATGTAGCCATTATTATAATGATATGTAAATCACCGACGGGCATAATGCTTAAGTTTTAAAGGCAGGTCTCCTTGCTACAATCCAGAGCTCATTTATTCAAAAAAACAATCTAAAATCTAAAATTCAATAACAACGGGATATCGTTTCCCATGGACGGGAATAAAACGCGTGGGGCGGCATTTTATATAGACAGGGCTTGCGTCCAAACAGCCACTGTCAAACGAGAGCTCTCTGTGTACACACGGCCGCCGATCCTCATCACAGTAACAATTTGTGCCAAAATATCAAGGAATAATTGCGTAAACAAGGATAATGAGAGTAGGTGGAGCCGTCGCCGCTCGTACGCCCCTCTAACTTTTTCTCGTCGTCTGGGCGGTGCAAAGAGCACGCCTTGAGTTTGAAGCGTTCGAACGCGCCAGCCTAACGCTCTACAGACATGCCGACGGCATCTCGCCGACGGTCAAACTAAACAAACATTTTATAACATCTAATGCGAAAAGTGAATCAAAGTTTCCACCGATATGACCTCACCGTCAATTAGCGAACGATAGAAATCGCTAGCTGTATCGATATTTTAATTGACTCTGTGATATTTTTACGAACTGCAATATGTAAATATGCCAAAACATGTTCTCAAACCAGAATTACGAATATACTGCTTACAAGTAATAGTGATTTAGTAATACTTGTATTTCGGAAGAGACATTCCCGCGTGTTTAAGTGATTAAAAATGAAACCGTATCTGAAGGATGTAGTGTTACCAACATGAAAAAGCAGAGAGTCGCTATTGGAGAAAAACACAGAATGCACATGCATCTAGCTGCCATATATTTTTTGCTAATACTTATCTTCAAAATCGCAAGGTAAGCGGACTTATGACTGTCACAGTAACATTTATTTAAACAATACTGAATCTTATAATAAGGGTATTAAGTCGCAAGTTGCATGCTGAATGAATATTTGATAACAATATAGTTTAACAGCAGAAGTATAAGGCGTCGCAATGAATACGAAACTAAGACATCACGTCACTTATAATGCAAAAACCGTTTAAGTATACGGCCCAATGAATAACGGCAGCATAATGAGAACGCATGGTAATGAATGCAAATTTAAAAGGTGACAATCATTTGTCGGCCCACCCAATACTGAGGAGATTTACTGAGTAAACAAATAAGAAACGATATACCACTCCACGTGGTCGGATAATACGCGGGCTGTTTATCAGCTGAATTAAATTCTGACAGATTTTCTTCATCTATAATACATTTTTAAATTTAAAAGTTTAAAAATAGCTTAGAATTAAATTAAACACGGATACAATACCATTTACGGAAATAAATTCAAAGTCATTTTCATATTTTTCCAATTCTTATATTTGTATTGTATTGTATGATTGTGAAAATGAAAGTAGTTTAATAACAAAAAAAGCATTAAAAGATAACATAATGTCTAAGCTAAATATCTTGAAGGTTCAATGACCCCAAACATATTGTAGTTTTTAAAATTTATTTTTTCATTTTCATTTTCAAATATATGTACATAGATCCAAATACAAAATTCTTTATAACCATTTTAAATCTCAACAAAAATCGATTTCAATTATTACAGGTTACTGTCAATAAATATAAAAGAAGTTTTTTAAACCTTTTTAAGAATACAACAGTATTGTACAAATTGTTTAAGTCTGCACTTAATGAAATACCCTTTATCTCTTTAATTTATTGAGACATCGATACAGAAAGTATGTTATCGTAGGAACTAATTGCATATATTGGTAACACTTTTAAAAATACCTACATGTTCCCTACAAAGTATATTATAAAACCAAGCAAATAGATATAAGCATGGCTACATTGCTGGTACATGGAATTTCAATCAGAAGATTCCATGTATAATTTCAAAAAGACCTAAGGCTATTTCATTTTAAAGTAAAACCATTCAGAACATACATGTAATAGAGGTTCTTTTTGCATCCCAGAATTGGGATAAGGTCTTTATGCATCCGCGGATTGGTGTAGAGAAAAGTATTTGCAGAATTGTCGGCACGCAGAGAGAAGCAAAGCAAGTAGCTGTAATTTGTATTGAAATAACCTTTCTGAATGACTATCGTAGCATTTCATCAGTCCAGCTCCGACATCAGATTTATTATTTTTTTACTGGCTTGGTCTTAAAGCACGAAATTATTGTTTTTATCTCGACGGTAGGAATTTTCATAGCAATTATATTAAGCTCAGGCAGGAGTTTTAATTGGATCACAGAGTTTAACGACTCGTTGGAAAAAGCTGTTGAACGCATCGGTTAATTCTCTTATAGATCAGTAAAAAATACTAATCTCGAAACTTCAGGGCTTTTAGACAAGAGAAATGTTAAATATTTTACAACCATTTACGTTACTGTAATATCGAGTTATAAAGAATTATCTTAACTACATGTGTTTTACTTACGAGTATTAACAATTACTAACAATGTATGTATAGAATATAATGTTTACTAACTTTTCATCGTAGACGTAGAAGACGTAGTATTCTCGAAAATAATCTGCTGTAAGCTATATTTGATTGAATCTATCGAGACATTTCAATGAAAAGGAAAAACAATCATATGGACATTGAGCTGTAGTATTATTTTAATCGTATTTTATAAGTTTTGATTTATCTTAAATGAAAGCACATTATTAAGTAATCCTTTAAGATAATAAATTATGAAACGCTTAAGGTATATGAAATGAAAAATTAACACTTGTATTGTTGGAAAGTGTTAAATAATGAAAATACGATGCAGAAATGATACAATGATTATGGCGAGTGCGTATTATTAAGATCATTTAGCTGGTTGTTCTTCAACCTTTAATGACACCGGCATTCTCTTGCCGTGGGAAAGTGTAGTACAAGTTGTGTAAAGACGGAAAACAGTGTTTAACTTTGGTTTTAGTGATCCTCAGTTGAAACGTGAAAACTCGCAAGAGACATTACATACATATTACGTTTGATGAAGATCGGTTAACATATGTACTTTATATCAATTTAACATACATTCAATAATTATTATCCTTATAATTTTGATTAGTAAAATAAACATTATTATAATTGAGTACACGTTAATATAGTTTCAATAAAATGATCATTATAACATTTCATTTGAATTTTGATGTTAAAAGTACATAGGTACCTATATAACTTAAACAAAATTATTCTATGGAACCTTTATTCATACATTTATATTTTCACATCTTTCAAGCGTACAATTAACTGATAACAGGACTTCTCGGAAGTTAAATAGACGTGTAAACACCTTAAACTATAACAAACTTCAATACACGCATTATAACCCTTTTAAATAGAATCAGTACGTCAAACAAGACCGTGTTTAAAAATATATCCTTGACGTCCGTCTGTCAACGAGTTAAGAAAGCATTCTTTTAGATAAGGTTACAAACGCAGTTTAAATATTACGCCACATTTAGAGCAAAGAGAAATTTTATAAGACCAAGCTTGAATGGATCTTGGAGTGTTTTATATTTTGTTCACTCTTTATCTCAAATTGCCCGAGTGTCGAATCACGTGCTGTCTCTGTCATCAGGTCATCTGTCACAACTGACACCGGCCAAGTGCGGACGTGACATAAACTGTCTCGACGTCATCTATTTAAACAATAAACAATTTTAAGAGGAAGTAATAATATTTAAGTCAGGCTTAGCTAACGAGTGTAGATGCTTGTAAAAAATCTTTTTTAGCTGTATTTTTATAAAGATTACTTCTTGTATGTCATTAAGAGTAAAAAAATATACCGTAGATTAAAAAAGCGACATTGTTACTTTTAATAGTTTGGTAACTACAAACATGTGTATCTGTTACTCAAAAGATAATTTTAATGACGACAAAATATTTTACAAGAATTCAATAACATTCCACTCCAATATCGAGAACCAGAGGCCAAAAATAAAAATTAAAATCCTTTAAATAATTCCAACGTGACATACTTAAAAATATTCGTCCCAACCCGGGAGCGAATACAAATTGTTTCATTAACAAAATATTTTAGGACCGTGTGATAAAGTTTGTTAATATAATTCAATTATAACAACATTTTATAGGAAGCATTTACAGAAAGTTACATTCTAAATTGAAATAAAATTATACTTTAATAAAAGTTTCATTTGCTTTTATCGTCTTCAACTAAATTTGACGATTAGTAGATTATAAGATGTCGAAATTAACGAAAAAGCTTCCAACAATTTTGAACATTTTATCGGCAAAACTACATATAATGAATACCGATATAAATCGACATATAACATGAGTTATGTAAAATTAAGAAAATATATGAATTTAAGTTGAAACGCTTAGTTTTTTATCTTAAAATAGACTAAAATAAATATAATTATTACAAATTTTTACAATTTAAAAATTTATTTATTTTTGTTTGAAAATGTGTTTACAATATAATATAAAAATTGTTTTCAGTTCTAAAGACAACATTCTTCCTCATCAACTTAAACTCAGTTCTACACTCACTTGTCGTCTTATCGGAGGGCTGACCAGAGAACAAAGATCCGTGTGTCACAGTTCTCCAGATACTGCCGCTATTGCTTTAGAAGGTCTACAAATGGCGGTTAAGGAATGTCAACATCAATTTCGATGGCATCGCTGGAACTGCTCCAGCCTTTTGACGAGAAGCACTAATCCACACAATAGTGCTATAATGAAAAGAGGTCAGTAGAATTATCATACAAGCTTTTATATATTTTGTAAATCAAATGTCATATGAATAAAAATAAAAAACACATTAAAATTATTCACATTTCAGACACAAATTCACAAACATATTACTTTGACTTTTAAATAAATTCACTGGGTTCCGATTGTTTAATTATTCAGTGTAATAAAAACTTCAAAACGACAATAAAGATACTTATTTATTTATGAACCTCTGTCGCAAATGGGCCGCCAATGACTTTGTAGGCATCGAGAAAACGTAGGTGGCAGCAATCAACAACATAACGCCAAACCAGTCTTAAAGCTTAGTACCATAAGAAAATTTTATTAAAATAAACGCAACTAAATTTTCAAACCAATCGCGATCGGCCATTACAATCCGAATTTATTACGACGAAAAATTATACACGCATATTAAGACCCTCCGGACGGAGCGTATTATGTTCCTGCGGTATTAACTGATGGTCGTAAGTCTTTATGTCTATATCTCTGGGTGTGAAAAGGCTTTGTTGATCTCATTTTTTTCCACAATCATCGCACACGTTGACGCGGAAATTTACGAGCATGGATGATGGGAGACAACAAATAATAAGACAATTCTTGGCCAGGTGGGTCCGCTTCTGCGTCCGCGATTTCACGCTACGTGTGGGTCCGACGACCAAACCAATCTTTCCCTGCGGCTCGAACCTTCCTAACCAATTAATATTTAACCTGGTATTATCTCAACTAAAAACATTTCCTTAATATCTTTTTACATATGTAAACTGGAATATTAATATGAAATAAAAAACATTACTTTAAATTTGTTTTTAATTTTACTTATCAAACGTTTTGTTTGAGATATAATTTGACATGTGCTATGCTTAAATCAGTTGATAGGACCATTGTTACCCTAACATTGTGCACTATTAGCACTGTTAATACTCCGTAACAACACCTTCCGGCCATTCCGTTTAAATTGAAAATAATAAAAAAATAGCGTATCTAAATAGTTAAACATCTTTCTTGACTTGTCCATTGTTAAGACATGAATTGAACGAAGGAAGAAACTGGAGAATTTTTTTTTTATGGAAAATCGAGAGTTGATTTTAAATGGGATAATGGCGATCGATGATCTATGAAGAAAGACTATAATGAGTATTGGACTTTTTTTTAAGATGTGATACGTTGATGAAAGAAGATGCGTGATATTTAGAATAGAAAGCGGAATTGGTTCCGCTTCCTCGAAATCCTCCACACATTGTTAGTGATCTTGTTGTATGTCATGCTAGCACAATACATCCAACATAATGTAAAGGATTTAATGATCTTTGTGAAGCTAATGAGGCAATTGTAGGAAAAAGTTATCCACAGGCGTTAATAGTCGCTGATGGATGTGAGATTACGACTTGAATACCAGACGAATATGACATGAGAGAATGGCGCACAACAAAACCCAGGGTGGCAACTTAGTGAGCGTCGATACAAATCTGACGGCGGCGCAAGCGCACGTGACCTGAATACGCGATGCGAATGTCTCATAAAAAAGTGACATTTATTGGCATTTTATATCAACCACATGTCAACAGGTGACGAAGTGGCGACAATAAAGTATTATTATGATGCTGCAAAAACTGAGATGAGTCGTTATAAGACGTTATCTGTCGGTTTGTCGTGGGAACATTTTCAAGCAATGTAACATCTTTATTATACGAAACCACTTATTGTTTACGCCTTCGCTCTGTCTTAACCATTTAAAACGATGATCTAAAATAGGATTACGTTTAAGAGGTAGCCTTATCGATGCCCTAAAACAACAGATTTAAATTACAATAAGAATGGGACGTGTCAAAATGTGTCACTCCGATGAGGCCTGCCCTTCTAATGTCCATGATAACATCTCAAAGTGCGTTACCGAATCGTGCTCCTTCAGATGACTCTCAACTGTGAGAAAAAACACAAAAGGTCCCATAAAAATATGAATTTGTCCAAAGTACTTCAATGTTCGGACGTGACGTGGAGTGGATTTTTTGTCGAATAGATGTCTCTTTGTTCCCTTGAGGATTATAATACCGTTTTAAGGGGTTAATTAAGTTGAGAACAGTGAGGTTGCAGAATAATGAAGGGCTATTGATAGGTTTGACTTGTAAAAAAGTTAATGGGTAAGAGATTACAGAGTAATCTGAGGTTTCTATAATTGTGTTTGGACTGTTTTAAAACTATATAAGATTAAATGCGTTGTTTTAAATTTGTTCTTTGACAAATTTGTTACTTTTAATTAAATTATATCATTATTGTTATTCCTACAGTAAGTACCTAATGTTTATACGATACAAAATCGAAATATTCTCATTCTAAGCTATCGGCAAACAATTAATGTAACCAAAATTATTATATACACAATTATAAAGGTGCTTGAGAGCAAAAGTATGAAAATATAGTATCTAACGACCTGCAAGCGTGGCTGGTCATCGTTGCGGTAATTAGCAATTCGCAACGCCCAACCTCGTACAAGCCTTAATTGGGCAAAAACCTTCTCAACTTAATTCCTAATTAATGGATGTTTTGACCTAAAGACTTTTTTTTGTCAAAAATGATTAAATAATCTGCAACTCGTTTGGACCCACGCTTGTTTTAAATGGTATTAGAATTTCTAAAAGGCAATTCTTAGGCATCTTTAGATTTTTTAAGTATTGTAATTTAATTATCTTTTGCCTGCTCGTTTCTTGTGCCCTTCCATTTAATGTTTTAGTACAGGTATTAAAAATAAATATAATTGCAATTAATAAGCATTTTGATTTAATAATTTCATTGAAATAAGATTTCCGAACTTATCTGCATGTAATTAAGTCTCCAATAAAATTTTATAGCAACAAATTCATTTATATTAATAATTTTATTGCCATTCGACTCACGCACCTTTAACGATCTTGAAAAACAAAACGAACCACGAGGGAGGTCTTAATAATGTGTATTAAGTTTACTACAAAACGGTTTCCATATATAGTGAATATTCTGGAGAAATCCATGTGTATTCATAAATTTTTGGCACCAGATTTATATCCTATCAGGCTGTAAGCGAGAATCGTCACGGAAAAAAAATATCTTAACTAAGTGCTGAATCGTAAATTACAGAGACGTGAGCAAGCGCAAGTCTCAAATACCATGTTATACAACACGGAAAAAGTCGACCACCGCCGTGCCTATCGGAAAAACTTATCAATATGCGCATCCATTTAAATAAATGTCCATTCGAGCGTACATTTTTAAATAAAGAACAGAGATGAAAATAAAACGTTCAATATGATAATTAAAATTTGTATTTACTTAGGAGCGCTGTGAATTTTTTTTGCCGTACGGCGCCGAGTCGCCGTATATGGACCGAATGGTGATTTGCCAGTTTAATCCGCGATTCGAGGAATCAAAGTGGCACTGAAATCGTTCAGATCACCTGTCCCAGTGATGGACAGTCTTGCTTTTTATTAACTTACTGTCCCATAGCTCCCTAATTATAAAGAGACGAATAAAATACATATATAGAATAGTAAATAATATACTAACAATTACACCTGAACATGGTAAAACTCCTATTTACACACATAAATTATACAAGAGCTAAATTTTACTTGCAGATACTCCTTGTCTTGTTAATCAACATAACTTTTTCTGAGAGTTTTATCGAAAATAATTACATGTCATGCATTATTCAGACACTGTTAAAAAACAAAGACATACAAGTGTAAGGGAAAAATTTTAAATTTGTCACCCGTTCGAAATGCAGAGCAATCGTTTGAAAACCGTTCAAATTAGAATAATATAATTATAAATGAGTTTGCTAACACAGATATTAAATATATAATTTTTTGAAATCAGAACATATACCAAGGTTATACATAACTTACTTATTAAAAATCCTTTATTAAAATACTATAAATAACACATACATATAATATCATTGAAATAACAAATTCATTACATTCAAACATAAGAAATGTTTAAACCAAGTCAACGTTCACTTATCATGAGATTCAGTGAGGAACTATAAATCGCTAGCTATCGACTGTATCGCGTCTCCGTGGATCGACAAATATAAATTTGTCAATGTTGAAAAAAGCTTTATAAATAAACAATAAAAACTCCCTATACGGTTAGTAGACCGTAACATACAAGTCGATTTAGTTTGATAGTGTAATATTTTAAATTACTATATGTGCATTCGATAATCCTTGGGATATGCTACTTTTTCTTTAACTCCCTTCTGTATATATAAGGGCGATCATTGATTTTGTCTGTCTTTTTTATTCTATTAATATTATAATATAAATACGTTATTTTTTGTCTGTATTTTCTTACTATGTCATACAAAAAATTCATAAAAATGTATACTTTAAAAATCTGTCATTATATCAGTAAACAAATTTTTGATTTCTTTTCTATCTCAGTTGTTAATATAAGGGACTTTTACAAACTCTGACGTTAAAAAAACTGAATTAATCAATGTTACACACAAAATTATAAAAGGTTTAATTACTCCGACCTATAAACTTCTGAAACTGTGTTAATTCATCTGGCTAAAGATCTTGCACTATCATAATGATTCATTTATAATCAATATATACCAAAAGTATCACCTTACATCACTCTTAATTGAATACTTTTTTTGGGTTTGATGATTGTAAACTAAAGTAACTTTTCTCCTAAGCTTATAAACTTCATGTGACTATTATAAGTCATTTAGTGTTTTTTTGTAAAATAACATAAATCAATTTCTTCACAGCATTATCATTACTTGTTTAAAGATAATTCTGTTCTTATGACTTTCAAGATTTTAAAATATTAATTACTTTTTATACCTCATTATTTTTACATGTATTGACAACATGATAACTCAAAAACCTGTATATCTCAATACTAATATTGCTGTTACAAACTCTTAAGAACTAAATGTTTATATTTTCATAAAAAATATCTACAAATGGAATGATCGAACTAAAGTGTACATATATTACATATATTGTCGTACTATCCATATTATAATTGAGGAAACAAGTAACGTGTTTGAATACTTTTGCTTAGCTTCCATCTAAACAAATTAATTACTTATGTATACCTACATTCTACGTGTTATGCTTATTTTATCTAAACATCCATAACAATCAGTATATCACAATTGGCTTCGCTGTCGGTAATCCAAAGATAACAAAAACCAATTAATCACTTGGCATAATTGAAGTAATTGGATATAGTTTAAATCAACTTATTAGATTAGCCGTAACGTTACTCACTAACAAACAAACTTTGTTAAAACAATTTTATAAACAATCATAACATGATCATGCCCATTATTTTTGTTGCGTATTTTGATTTAAAAAATATGTAACGTGTAATAAAATTCCAACTCAATAATCTGTAGCCAACAATTTAGAGTTTCGTTAATCAATTTGAATTCCAATATCTATCTTCGATGCAAAATCAATAAACATTAAAATGTTCAATATCGATGTGGCCGCTCGGTAACGCAATAATTGCCCATTAATCGACCAGCTCTTAAAATCGCATTAAACCCATTCAATAGAGTACAATGAAATAGCAGGAATAGCACATTATTAAGCCGAGAGGCTTACAACCGTTCACAATTAGCTAAGCACCGGTTGGATCAGCCCTAACTCGTATGCAAATCGCAATCTTTATGGCTAAAAGATTACATTGTATGGCCAATAGCTTATCTTCGCATCTAGAATGGTTCTATTTAATTTATTGCAATAAAATAGATAAATGAGAATCTCACGTCCGCGTTTTATACGGCGGTGAACGAGAAAGCATACTTTATAACTTGAGATGGATTTTTGAGATATTACGTCAGAATTAAAATTCTTTAAGAATAAGTAGTTGTAGTAGCGTTATGTATGTATTTTAGTGTATGGAGAAATTTCATCGCCTACTTTCTAAATATAAATCATGATAGAATCAAAAATATGAAAACATACATAAAAATATATTTGACTCGTATAAAGACTTTATGTATTATTATAATATAGATTAATATCTGAGCAGTTTTGTTTGCCATTCTTGAACATATATGTATAACAACATAAATTGTTCAACAGACATGCTTAAAAATATTCTTTACTAGTATAGTCTATAAATATTTTTTCTTTATTAGGTATGTGTTTAAAATAACTACTCCCCGTGACATAACTATCAGTAGTGTCTATTTGATACTACATACAAAATGTATATGCATTTAGATCTTTTTTTTCTTTTTCTTTATTTACTGAATAAGATTTCAGTTGCGTGCTAAGAATTTCTGTGAATTCGTTTTTGTAAAATATTCCCTTATATAAAGGATAGCTATATATAGATGAAAAATTAATAATGTAAATAATTTGAAACATAGGTTTTCGTGAAGCTGCCTTTCTGTACGCGCTGACAGCGGCAGGGGTGGCACACTCTGTGGCACGCGCATGCGCCCAAGGACGCCTCATATCCTGTGGCTGCGACCCCCTGGGATACCGAACCACTCACGAGAGAGGCAGAGCCCGGGTGAACAAATGGGAATGGAGTGGCTGTTCCCATAACCTGGCCTACGGAATCGAATTCTCCAAGAAATTCCTAGACGTTCGTGAGCAAGTTGACGATCTACAATCAAAAATCAATGTTCATAATAACAACGCGGGAAGATCGGTGAGTTTTATTCTATTTTCCGATTCCTTTAACACCATTATTGACATTTATATAAATAGAATAACTTTTCTTTTTCATTGTCTTTCCCAATATCCAGAAACTCGATTTCCTTCGTACTCACAATGTAATTAACATGAAAACTAAAGGTAATCTGAAAGATCCTTTGATGTCATCAGACGTAGGAACAACAAAGAGTAAATTGACACCACTAGTATAAGATAGCTCTTCAATTTCGCTATTAGATGCATCACTGCATATTCTCAGTTTGATCGGAGGGTGAATGTTTAATGAGCCTCGTGATGTGCTTTAGATTACCTTAATTAATGGAACGGGTCTTGCCAGATTATTCTTTCACTTCGGCATACTCTACATAATTAAAATCATCTTATCTAAAGTACTTGCATTCTAAAATGATGCATTTATGACCGAATTTGGATGTTATACATCGATAGGTAATATGTATAAGGGTCAATATAGCAATTTAGCCATTTAAATTTTTTTCCTTTAAACACTTCATAATACTGTATTTTACAACATCCATTTAAAAAAATGCGTATTTGTTGGTCGGAATACTTAGTATTTATTGCTGTAATAGGGCATAAGTACCACACTTTTTAACGTATCGAGGCTTATATACATTATTTAAAAAACGAGTAGGTTTACAAAAAAAGCTTATTTAACTTAAACGACGTACATATATGTCATGGTTGCTATTCAAAGTTTCAAAAGCAGCAGTTGTCGCATGTAAAAAAAAATTGAAAGAAAACTTAAAACGCCTCTACTGAAAAATTGTCATTTTACACATTATACATAGAAGCCATCGACATATCGTAGGCATGTAAATAAACTCCCGTAATAAAAACAGTTGAATATAACCCAAAGATAATATAATAAAAAATTAAACTAACTAGTAAACTAATTTCTCGTTACGCTTGTCCGATTTGACATAAATGAATTGAATACATAAGAGCCTTTCATTAATCTTATTTCCAAAATGCAATAAAAGCGGTCCCTAGGGTTCTTTAAATGGCCCTAGAGGTGTTTAAATGGCCACAAAGGTGTCGGGAGTAAGTTACAACACATATTTAGTTTGAATTGAAGAGCGGATAGTAGGCGGGGCATTATAATGATTCGACTGGGTGGTCCATTGATGCTTCATTATAGAAATATTATGTAAATAGAAAACGTTAGATACAAATAAATCAGTTATATATTAAGTTGTACGGGATATCTCAATTTGACGTGGTTCGTGTGAATTTCAATATCGTTTTTTTGTAAATGAAACTTAATTTGTGTTCCCAGCGCCATATTCATGGAGATAAATTACAAGTAGCTTTCGTTATTGATAATTTAAATTCTATATGGGTTTAATTTAACAGCAACACATGTTTAAAATAAACAAAGATTTAATAATCAAATGCCAGCTGTTATGACAGTGCGTCTGTCACGTAAATATGTCAAGAACTGATTTGTTATTGTCATGCCGCTAATCTACCGGCGATCATCAACGGGCGACAACTAAGCCAAAATACTTGACCTACCGTGGCGGATTACTTCTAATAATTTAATAGGCCTTCCGTCTAATAATAAACATGTCAAAGAGATATTAAACACAGCATTACCAACTTACATTTACCACTAACTATTCTTTTATCCTCTATTATGAACTTTAATACAACTAAATAAGGTAACAAGTTATTTTTATCGAATCTACAAAACTTGGCATATAATATTATATATCTGTCCGTAACAAAATCTGACATTAGTCGCATACCACGTCTCGTACTTATTTGGATTTACGGTATCATTTGGAAGGTTTTTTATAATACAAACAGCGGTTACAAATAGTTTAATTTGTAATACGTTAATTAAAACGGGTGGAATCGAGTGTCTTTTTCATATTAACTTGTCTACAAACGAGTGACATTTATGGTCGTGTTATTTGATAGTTATTCGTGTTTATATTTGAAAATAGGATTATTTCTTTAACTGTTACGCTTTAATACTAGGTATCATATTTAGAGTAAATGTAAACATATTTCAAAATATGGTATTATGTCCATAAATACTGTATTTAAGAGATCTGTGCTTTAACAAACAAAAGCTTATAAGTTTGCTAACAAATTTCCTCTATAAAGTGGGATTATCAGCCGTCAGGAAGGTGGCTGTACGCTACAAATTAACAGTTTTAATACATTCAATTAGAAAATGACAGTCTAGTTGGAAGCACATTAAAATATTTGAATTGGCAGTTTTATAGTTTATATAAACATACAAATATCAGAACGTTTGTTCATTTGTTCGTGTAATTATTAAATATGAATATTATTATGGAATTTGGTGATTATTTCTAAACGCGGTTACCATTTACTTTTGAATTTATAATCTCAAGTTTTCTTAATGACGCTTAAATAAAAAAATGGTGCCATAAATTGTAAATTCTGTATATACGACTTATATGGTCCAGTCACGAACATAATTCAATGATAATAAAATCATGTTTTATCATTTTACGTGAACCCCGTCTGGTTTATTAGATCACTCATAATTCACTATTAACATGTATTTTAATTCGACGTTTTACGACCGTTGCTATAAAACCACGTCAAAACTAATGATTGAGTAACAAAGTTGCTGTATTTATGGACTTTGGCTGTGTATACTGAAATATGGCTGATATTAAATGATAACTTATGTCTCGTATTTTGTGAGAATTTGTGCTTTCGTATTTAGTTACCCGGGAATATAACGATAGCTACTCCTGACGACACATTTTCAATTTATCGGTTGTAAATTAATGTTAAAATTATCAGTTTCTAACAGCTACCATAATCTCCCAACTGTTATTCTTAGTTATAAACTTGTACCAAACAAACAATAACTAAAATCTCTAATCTTTTCAATGTGCTATATATATGTATTACATTATTTGGTGTAAAGAATGCACTGGTTCATAAATGGCCTCAAATAGACATTATAAGGGTAACACATAGTGGAAAATTGACCCATCTTGGTCGGTGGTCCCGGACCCCACATTTGATTGTTCGAGCGGCATTTTACATTTTGTTTTGTTGCTACATAATTAACAGCCTCCCAGTGAGATCTCTGTTAGACACGCTCTCTTATAATAACCTCCGATGATATTTTTATTAATATCGAGATACCGACGCTCACACCGAACCAAATACTGAAGCGGATCGGGATTTTAATGTTATATATAATGTCATACAAATCATCCGAATTTTATTTTATATTTGTATATAAATTAAATAATTATAATATATTTTTTAATATAGTCATATTATATTTTCACATTTTTCTTTTAATAACGTATCTAATAAAAAATATGGAATGCAAAATATGATATTATATTAATAAATAAGAATGAAGATTTAAGGCATTTTTTACAAATATAAAAAAAATATCATAAATTCTATATCAACAACATCAAAGCCTTTAATTTAAATTAAAATAAGTTGCATAAAAAGTAAACAATTATAGTTTTATTTCAAAATCTACTTCATCAAATTAAAGATTTAACACGAAAAAACTAATTGTAAATTATAAAGTAATGAGAACAAATATTTTTTTTAACAAAATATTCGTGACGGTGTAACATAGCTCTTAGTCATAAAAGCCTTCGTCTCAACCCACATAAGAAATTAGGTATCACATTAGAGAGCCGAGGTGATAATTATGTTACAAAAAATCTATTCAATAAGTTAATATTTTAGATGTAGATGACTCCGTATTTATGCTACTCCTAATACATATCAGGTTTGTTATGATATGGAATGTTCTTAAAGGTAAAGTGTTTATATATTTATAAAGAAAATACTTTATTAATTTTCAAGAATTATTTTGAAACAAAAGTATTATTGTTATAAAAATACATCAAGATAAGTCGACTTTTTCGAACAACAAATATTATTAATTCGAAGATTTGTAACGATATTTTTATATATTCATAATCAACCTTTCACTTAAAAATTTTGTGTGGATTTTTATTACATTTTTACAATAATGTAGTTCATATACGGCAAGGGCAAGATAATCAAAAAAATCTAAGAAAATCATTAGTTTGGTCTATAGATTCCGCATTCGTCAAAAAAACATAAGAAATCAAGTAATTTAATGAAAAACATATATAAAATTATTATATGTTTCGTAACTGTTAGGCAACCTCGGCACAGTTTTATACGACTTCTGTAATGCGATATACTTGTAAGTGTCAATTAGGACGTCTTCGCACGATTGTGGTAATAGCGAACTGAAATCATTCCTTTCAGGGCCTAATTACTTTATCATACACTTCATTATAAGTCTCAGATTAATATGTACTAGAGTTTTAAACCTTTCTTTTTCATATATAAAATCCTAGTAAACATTTCTCTTTACTGACGTCGTGTGCGGTTATACCAATACTTAATTTGATCGGATTAGTCGCGGTCTTAAGGCGATCCACGTTAGTCACTCCGCTAATCGTCTTGCAGATTAAGTCGAGATTCACGATAAATTATTTAACATTTTACATTAAACATAAAAGCTTTAGATATTTGTACGACTCGCTGAGACCGAGTAATGGCAGCTCTTATATGGGTGTAGTTGCAACGTTTATCTCTAACTCCGGCCTTCGAGGTAGTTTTATTTACTACATTTCGATTAAAATACTGATAACTATGCTTTAATGACCAGAACAAATAATTCTTTATTGCACTGGTTTTACTCAATATAATAATAATATGTATGTCATTAATATATATATATTCTGAAGTATACAACTTATTAACAACGTATAATATTTAATACTTACAATAAGATTGTCGAGTGTCCCTTTAATGTAATGAATATGGTGTTTAATTTAACAAAAGTAGCTTTTTTAGGCGATATCATCCTCTTGTACTTTTGAGTTTAACCCACCGGCAATTGTTTATTGTTTTATGTTATGTAAAATGTTTAACAAAATATATTTGAATATAACATAATATATTTTGTTCCATAACATTTTTTTTGTGAAGATAAATCACTGATTTTAGTTTGAAAGAGTAACAGACATCCTTCCATACATTCATCCCGATAGCCTTTATAATATAAGTAACAGATTCCATTATGGAGTTTTTCCATTTCGGAAGCTTAAGGACATAAATAATGATAAATTTATGATAATACTAACCTCTAGACAAAGTCACCTTTACTCCGTTGTTTATGAACGGACTAAATTACACAGTAAAGATCTTTTTAATTGTAGTTATCTTTATAATGATAGGTTAGGCTCAACCTGTCATTATGTGTCTAGTTTTTGCTACTGCTATGATAAATATTCAGCTTTAGAATGTGTTAATGCGTAAAGGCTTGCCACATAAATTTTGCACTGAAAATAATATTAATAATATTTTCCGTAATGGTACCTTTATTTTTTCTCTCTCTCTCTTCGAGCATCTATATTGAATACAGATATTGATCTAAAAGTAGATTTTGTTGTCTAGAGCTATCGCTACAAAAACAATATTCTGAATTTGGTGTCACATCGTTCACATCACGGTTCAGTTGCATTTGATAGGTGTAACAGCAACATAAACTCTGTAGAATGAAGTGGTGTGTCTGTTCCGGGCCTGGGTCGCTCCGGGGCTCGTATTAGACCGCCGTATTTCACGAACCGCCCGCCGAGGTGAGAACATAATAAGCGGTTTGGGGCCATTTTTAATATTCCGGCTTCATTACGACGTATTACAAACGTCTTGGGTGGCGAATTCTATCGCGAACGCTCTTAATGCTACGTTATTAAGGCCCGCAGGATCGAAAGGCGGTCCGGGACGCCGATTTATTTGAATTTTTGCTCCGACTCAATTTGGGAAATTGTTCCGCCGGCGGCGTTCGCGAAATTAAGACGTCAGCGTGATTGCAGTGAGGCGTTTAATTATGTAAATGTTATGAACTAGAGGTGGGTGGCTTAATCGCGTAATTGTACCAAAGATGCGGTCACGTATGTGGATACTGTATGAATTTATATAAATATAAATTATGTATAACTTTTTTTTATGGACCGATTAAAAATTTTGTTCATAACGGTAGAGCCTAACAGTTAATTGATATCACTGGTTACGATAACAGCATAAATTAATTTGATAACAATTAACAACTGTGGATAATTAATACAAAAAATTCTCAGCTATTTTAATCACAAGAAATAAAAATACAGCTATTAATTATAAACGGCAAAAACATAAGAATATTTTTTCGCAGATACTCTCATCTCATATGGAGGTACGATGTAAGTGTCACGGCCTGTCTGGGAGCTGTCAATTAAGGACGTGCTGGAGGACCACGCCCGACTTCAGAATCGTAGCGTCCACAATTAAACGAGAGTATCGTAAGGTTCGTTTGATATACATTTTTATACGTCGTATATCACAAATTGTTATCAACGTATTCTTTCACAGAAGTTCAAAATAAATTGGTGATATTTTCCTTGGTTTAAAATGAATAATGACATCATTACAGGCATTAGTAGTGGCGCAAGAGGAGTTAAATAATAGCCCTTCAGTACTTCGTGGGCGTCCTCGTGGTAGAAGGCGAAGTCGTGCTAGACCGGCACCGAAAACAAGTCTAGTCTTCTTGGAGAAGTACGTATAAAAGCCTTAATAAGTAACCTATTTATCTTAGTTAAAAAATTTCATATATGTATGATATTGGAAACATTCCCTTCATTTAATTGTTTTTATTTAAGTAAGGAAATTTTCCTCCCCAGATCACCAAGTTTCTGTGAAGCAGATCCTAAGATGGATTCTGCGGGTACATCAGGAAGGATTTGTCGTATTGGAAGAACCTCTCGCACGGGCTCGTGTGATCTACTCTGTTGCGGGAGAGGTCACGATTTAATAAGAAAATCCAGTGTCAAACCCTGCAATTGCACCTTTCACTGGTGTTGCAGAGTTGACTGCCAGAAATGTCAAGATGACAAATGGATTGCTATTTGCAAGTGAAGTTACTTGGTCTTTCCGATAATTATTCCATTTATTGAGATGTTGGTTTTGAAGTTCTATTTTGATAGTAAAATCAAAATAAACATCAATATTCAAAAGATTCAATATAATCGGTCAAATCGTGAAACATTTTTGTTGTATTATATTTCTTATATTCAGTATTGTACATTGATAATAATCAATACGGCTAAAGTAGTTGATGCAATTAATTTGCGCATAAAAATTCATATACCTCACATATTATTTTAGTTTCGGCTAGGTATTTTATTTACAAAAGTATAAGTTAAACCAGTCTGAACCAAGACATTTTTTACAAAAGACATTTTTTATTATTTAAGAGTTAAATTATTACTTAAAGTCAAGTGACCTTTAAGACTTGCATATTTCTGACGCACATACACCCAAAGCTCAAAGTATTAACCATTAGGTAATATATAATGCAATATAAAACGCATTATAAATACTTGTACTCATTTGTTAGTCTAGCACAATTTATAAATTATTAAAGATTATAATAATTATGTCCTGTAATAAGGTATTAAAATGAATTTGTTATAGCTGTGTATGAACAGTATTAAAACTAAAAGACATTTGTAATTTTTTATCATTATCGTGTATAGTTCATGAAATATTTCACTAATTAGCGTTCACGTAAAGTAACACGTACACATTCCTTTGTAAATACTGTATTTCACAATTTTCATCATTCCGTATTCGTATATTACTATTATTAGTATTTATTTTCTTTAAGGCTATTGTACCATTTATAGCAATAAATTAAATAAAATAATCTTTGTTTTATTATTATTTTTTCCAGAATTTCGATTTTATGCAAAATATTTAGAAATATTTCTAAAGAATTAAAATATTTTGAAAATTTTTGGTACCGACACAAAGTGCAATTATTTAATTACTTCTGTTTGATTTCCTCCACGGGTTGAGAGCCCCTTTTAAACTGCTCCGACGCGCATTCAATGGCTATTGTAAATTTTGTTACATGTTATATTTTTTGTATTAACACATATATTATGATTAACTGTTTTTGTTTATTGAGAAAATTAAATGATTTTTTAAACATATCTTATAATATAACTAAGTTAACCGTGTTGTCAAATTATCTAAAACAAAAGTTTCAAGGACACACATGAATTCATAATATTACGATTCATAATATTTTAGAAAAACTTAACAAAGTAGTAGGAAATAATGAATAGAATAGTTGAAAACACATTGAATTTAATTATGAATTGAACACATGAAGCAGAGTATAATATATTTAGACAGATTGCCCCTTTACGTTATTGAGAAGATCTTGAAATGCTAAATGGTTGTATTGTGTTTTATAAGAATTGCAGTGTATTGTTATTGTTACACTCACGCTTGATTGAAGAGTTTAGGTAGTGTAACGGATCGCTTTTAAGATTACTCAGGAATCTTCTGTCAATAAAAGATGGATTTGATGATAGTAAAAAAAAGTATACACGACGTTACAAAGCGGGAACGAATACAATAAAGACGTATTTGCTGTATCAATGACGAGTCTAAAGCAAAAAAATATCATGCCCATAAAATATTTGTTATTTTAAAATACTAATTAGTTTCTTTTGGAGTAAAGGGCGTTTGTATATTATATTTAATATGTATCTAAGGGTGTTTGTATACTATTAAATGTATCTATAACAAAGTGAATCTATAGAACTTATATTTTAATACATACCTGCACAGAACTGATTGCCTTTAATGAAATAATTGAACAAATATAAACATAGAAACCAAGTTATTATTGATTTCTTGTTTCGACTAACACTATTAGAGAGGATTATTTCGGATTTACTCCCTGAAGCCCCAGCACTTGTTTGTGCTCTTTGGGCTACAGTTCTCAGAGTAGTTCGAGCCGTGTGCTGCTACTGACTTGTGGTGAGTATTTTGTATAAAAAATATCACTTATAATACAAAACACCAGTGTTATAGGATGATAAATTGTGAATATGTTTATGTTATGGTCTTCGATTATAAAATAATCTAAAGGTTTTATTTCATCCTTACTAGATATTTATGATACAAATGCTTAATATTCATCAATCAAAATGAGGGACGGTTTGAATATATCGTCCCTGCCGAGTCCTCAAGACCGGTACACGCTTGAAAAGAAAATTGGATCAGGCGTCTTTGGTGAGATCCATAGAGCCAAAGACACTCAAGCCGCAGGCAAGGCAGTCGCTATCAAAATACTACTGAACACCGAAGAAAATGAGACACACATCCACGAAGAATATAAAATCTTACGTGACTTCACAAAACACCCTAATCTTGTAGATTTTTATGGCGTGTTTTGTGATAAATCTGAATATACTAAGAAAATATGGTTTGTGGTTGAGGTAAGTCGAGATAATTCGAAATACTTTATATGTACGTAGAGACGTAGACGTAGACGTGTCAAAACACGGAGAGCCGTGTTTTGACAATGACTGCATTTATCAAATATATATTAATGTGAATCATCTTTTATAGCTATGCGAGTATGGATCTGTCATCGATATTGTCAGAAAACTTAAAGCTACGGACAAAAAAATGTCTGAGGAACACATTGCATATATCCTTAAATATACGATCAAGGTAAGTCCATATTTGAATCACTATAAACATGTCGTTCGTCACATTCGAGTCAAGATGGCTGTTTATAAAACAAAGGGCCTGCCAGTCCAACTTTCAACGGCTGAATCAATTGGTAGGTACTTTAAATGCAAACTCAATTGTTCTCCGATTCCTGTCCCCGAGATTTCTTCTGTCGCTGTGACGTCGTATAAAATATAGCGAACCGTATATCTGAGTACTTTTAAATCCTATCTAAGGCCATTACTTAAAATGTATGCCGCTTTATTTGATGTGATTCGCGACGCAAGAGTTGCACTTGTCGAGCGCCCGACAACACAGTGATGACCCCCCATTGCGGCGCATCGCTCAATTATCGTAAATAATGCTCGCACACAAGATATACGGTCTCGAGGGTCGGTAGCCAATAAGCCTTCTGTCTTATTTCAATCGCTACAGAAAATCTCTTGCATCCCTCACTTTAAAGTCTTTAATTCTGAATCTAATTAGACATATTACGTTCCAAGTTAAATAAGAATTTGTCAACTATGTGTTATCTTCACGGAAATCACTTTATTGAACACATAAATATTGTATTTCTTTTAATATTATGTTTATTCTTATCTTTGTTCTATAGATAATTTAGTAAAAGAAACTAATCCCAATTTTTTTAAGATATTTCTATACCTATAAACATTTAAATTAGTAACATAGTACCTAATTTCTATACGAAAAATTCAAGATTATCAAATGAAATGTGCCAAGTTAAAAAGACTATAGTCAAACATTGTATTTAATCACAATGTATTATATTGCACAATTTTATTCATTTTTAAATGTATGAAATGATCGATTTAGCCAAATGATTTATATCAAATAGTAGGCTGACAAGCCGAGACGGTACATATGCAAATAGCTCCCAATGAATCCCAGGGGCGTGGACAATTTGACTGACGTTATCGTTGAGCTGTCGCGTTTTGTTCGTGGGGGTCGCCACTTCTTTTTCTGATGTTAATTGTCTTGATTGAAAGGATACCTTTCGTTGCAATTAAACATTCAGACGATTTTATATAAGTCAACACAAAAAAATCTCATTTAAACTTTAAAAATAATGCTAATGTTGAATTACTTTACTAAGTGTATTCTCCTGATTACGTAATCTCCACATTTTGATCCTAAAATGCTTTTCCCACATACTGATTTTAATTAATCCGTTTTATAAATATCACCTGTTACTTAGTCATGCAGCGGCAATAAAGGTTATCACTTAGTTTAAATACTTAATAACTTATTTGAATTAAAGTGTTCCACTAAATGAAAGATATAACACTTTCTCATGACTTTTTTTATTTATATTCATTTACATAAATGGTTCCAGAAAGAAGTTAAAAATTACATATATATTTTAGGGAGTTGTTTATTTGCATGAAAATAAAATAATTCATCGTAACCTAAAATGCAGCAACATACTTATTACGAAAGATGGGGAGGTAAAGCTCACAGATTTTGGACTCTCCTGTCAACTAAGTGGCAATCAAGAAACAACACGGACCAGTATCGGGTCTCCAGGGTGGATGGCACCAGAAGCCGTCACAGTCAGCGAAGAAGGCTATGGCAACAGAGTTGATGTATGGGCCCTGGGAATATGTACTATCGAAATGGTTGACGGCGTGGCTCCTTACGAAAAGATGCACCCAACTAGAGCGATGTTTCAAATTCAGAGAATCCCACCACCTTCAGTCGCAAAACCCGCAATGTCATCAAACGATATCAATGATTTTATTAATGAGTAAGATTTATACCTACTTTTATGTTATAATTCAAACTATTAATATCTTTCAATATGTTACTTATTTTAATTATAGGTGCCTTGAAAAAAACCCGGAACATCGACCATTCATGATGGAACTGGAAGAACATCCTTTTATTCAGTCTGTACCAGAAAATGATTTTCATGTAATATAAATAACTAAATGAACTTATTAATAAGTATTTTAATAAAAAAATAATAATACAATTCTTCATTTTACAGCTATCAACAGAGCTAAAAATGTTGGCGCTAGATTTGAGTCAAAAAGAGGTTCCTTATCGTATAAAAGAGAGAATTATTAAAAATGGCCTTCTTATAAGTGAAGGCAAGCAGGACCCGGAGACTATGCAAGTCGAAGATTTAGCTGCATTAGACTTTTTATCAGAAGACAATATTCTTTGTGAATTACAAATAAAATATCAAAAGGGTTCATTTACTTCGTTTATTGGCGATGTTTTATTAATATTAAATCCAAATTCACATCAAGACATTTACAATGATGAAGTAATTAGCAATTTGTTTATTGTTGTCTATTTTACGTGTTGATCATTTATTTTGTAACCGGTATAGTTTTTTATTTTCAGTATCATAAAAAATACGAATGCAAATCTAGATCTGATAATGAACCCCATATATTTGCTGTAGCTGATAGTGCGTATCAAAATGCGCTTCATCACAACGAGCCTCAGTACATAATTTTTTCTGGGGAAAGTAAATCCGGAAAATCCACTAGTATGGTTCATGCCCTCTCACATCTAACATTTCTTGGTTCAATGAAAAATAACACAGCAGAAAGAATACAAAAGGCTACAACATTTATCCAGGCATGTATAAATGGTGCTACTCCAATGAATGCTAGTTCCACCCGTGGAATATTTCAAGTCCAAGTAACTTACGGTACGTCAGGAAAATTGAGTGGAGCACTTTTTTGGCTATACCAGTTGGAAAAATGGCGTGTTTCATCTACGGATATGTAATTATGACATACATTTAAGAAACGTTACATATTGAATTATTTAAAATATAATGATATCTACAAAAAAGTTTAAATTTCAGGACGCATGCGAATTTTGATATTTTTTATTATTTTTACGACGCAATTGAAGCTACAAACAGGTTGAGTGAATTTTACTTAGAAGAAAACAGAAAACACCGTTATTTAAGGATTGTAGATGACCCACCACGAGGCTTTAAGAGTGCAAGAGATTCCCCTACAGAAAATGCTGCCTGTTATAAGGAATTAGTTGAATATTTAAAAGTTCTTGACTGGGAAGAAGAAGACATTAAATTCTTGGAAACTGTCCTAGCCGCCATATTGGTATTAGGAAATGTACGATTTAGAGATGGAAAAAATGGATCAGCGGAAATCGAAAACCCAGAAGAAGCAAAGAAAGTGGTTAAATTGCTTTCACTCGATGAAGCTAAATTCTTTTGGGCACTTCTTAATTACTGTCTTATAGAAAACGGCACTGCAGTGAAAAGGAAACATGCAACTGATGAAGCCAGAGACGCAAGAGATACTTTAGCTAGTGCTCTTTACAAGAGACTGGTTGATTGGTTAATTAATGTTATAAATGCAAAACTATCATTTATGAGATCTGTATTGTAAGTATTTATTAAATAGATGAAAAATTGTAAAAATAAGATTGATATACATGACTTCAATTAATTGTTACAGCGGTGACAAATATTCTGTAAGTTTGATAGATATGTTTGGATTCGAATGCTATCATAGAAACCGTTTAGAACAATTAATAGTTAACACAACTAACGAACAAATTCAGTTTCTTTACAATCAACGAATATTTGTTTGTGAAATGCAAGAAGCAGCTGAAGATGAGATTACAGTGACTGCTTTGCGATTTTATGACAATAAGGGTTCTGTAGATCAACTGATGGCAAAGCCTCATGGAATATTTTACATCTTAGATGAAGCAAGTCGTACGGGCGGAGGACAAGAGTGTATTTTGTGTATGTATCATACATTTAAAATAATTGTTGAACTTTTACTATTAATTATTGTACTTAATCTTCTTTTTATTACAGCTACGATTAAGGCAAAATGTAAGAATCCTTTCGTTAAGCTTAACGGTAATCATGAATTCAGTATCGCTCATTACACCGGAAAAGTAAACTACGATGCAAGAGAAATGGCTGACAAAAATAAAGATTTTCTTCCACCTGAAATGATTGAAACAATGCGAGCGTCCACTAACCTTACACTGCAACAGCTATTTAAGAATAAGCTAACAAAAGCTGGAAACCTTACGGCAGCTTCCAACCAGTCTCCATCACAATCAGGCAAATCTAAATCTGAAAAAGAAACCGCAAATATTAAAGCCAGGGTAAATAATAATTTTAATGTTCCACTTAATTGCTTCTTTACATGAAGATAACAATTTGTCAATTTCAAATCTTTTAGAAATATAACACAGTTTCCAAAGGGCAATACTCACAAATTCGTCGAATGAGAACTGCCGCTGCAACATTTAGATCTACAAGTCTGGAGCTACTAAAACTTCTTTCTAATGGTGCCGGCAGTGGAGGAACACATTACGTCAGATGTATTAGAACCGATTTAAACGACAGTCCAAGAGGATTTCAACCCGAACTTGTTAGACAACAATTAAGAGCTCTTTCGATTCTAGACACTGCTAAAGCTCGCCAGTATGGATTTTCTTATCGTGTCCCATTTTCTGAGTTCATTCGAAGGTAAGGATCATATTTTAATATTTAATATTATAATGATATATGTATTTAAATAATAAATTCTAAATTCAAACAAATGATAAGGATATCAATATTGACATTAGTAAATAAAAAATTTTATTTATATTTAAAACCATCTTCCATAATTATGTAGTGTTACAATTATATCAATAATGAGAAAATTGTAAAAATTGTAATGTTTTAGATACCGCTTCCTAGCCTTCGATTTCGAAGAGACTGTTGATGAAACAGCGGACAATTGTAGGCTTCTATTGATTCGCCTTAAAATGGAGAATTGGGAACTAGGAAAATCCAAAGTATTCTTAAAATATTACAATGAAGAATTTTTATCAAGGTAAAACCGGTTCAATTATTATTAATAATGATATTACTACTTTCATTTTTATTTTTATTATTTAACTGAAAACTTATTGAATTTCAACAAATAAGTGATTTTTTTTAGATTATATGAAACACAAGTCAAGAAAATTGTGAAAGTACAAAGCATGATGAGATGTTTCTTGGCAAAGAGAAAAGCCGTTAAAAATAAATCAAAAGTTATGCATAGTAAGTTAACTTAATATCTCCCTATCCTAAAGACGCATTTGAGCATCATTTATTAAATGACATATATTTTCAGTTAAAGAACTAAAAAAACAAAAATCTCAAAATTTATCGGACGAAGAAGCTGCACTGTGCATTCAAAAAGGTATCTTGAAAGTAAATATATATCTTTTAACCGAATTATCATTTTTATTGTGAAAATATTTATGTTTCATTATTTTTCTTGCAGCTTATAGAGGATATGTCGTACGTAAGGCTTACGGACCCTTAGTAAGTAAAACTTCTGAACAAATTGATGATGAAACTTCTGCATTTCTAAAACGATTCGCTATGAAATGGAAGAGCAGATCTATTTTTCAAGTTCTGTTACAGTATAGAGCACTTCGTTATCAGGACTTAGTACATTTTTCACAACAGGTAAAATAAAATTGAAAGTTACGTAAAATATTGCCACTGACACATAAATTTGGACGACAGCTGTTCGGATAACGGAGTTCCAGCAACACTATAGTTTATGAAGCAGCATTATGTTATGTGATCACTTTTTACCATTCCCTTCATAACTCAGAACACTCGTGTTGCCACACTTTTTAACGCAACATAAGAAAACATATGATAATATACTAGTATTAAGCAATGGCATATGTAAAATTTATTTCGTGTTTAGTTAGATTTCAGTTATAACCTTCCGCATTGTTATTTCACACTTAAAATTTCAGTTTAGTAACGATATTTGTTTTTATAGGTACATATGTATAATCAAGCTGTTGTAGAAGAAACGAATAATACTAGCACTTCAGTTCCCCTTGATAGAGTAGATCCTCATACGAAAGAAAAAAGCTTTTTAGGTTCTGGTCCACCGACAGTCTGGAAACTTCCATTCAGAATGGACCAGATACAGTTTTATGACACCTCTCACATGTGTGACCCCGAAGTGAAGAACACGTGAGTATGAATAAATATTCGAGAAGCAAAATTTAAATTAGATTCTAAATTGTATCGGTCCAAAGAAAATTCGATATTGGTGGTACCGATATCTAATTTATAAAACCAATTGGTTTCTTATTATAGGGATACATTTGCAAGTGCATATGATTCTGACAGCGAACAATGGGATGAACCTTTCAAACGTCCTTGCAGTTCGGTTCAAACGGATCCTTTCAAGGCATCGACGAGCACGCAAACGCTCATTACAATGCCCTTCTGCAGAGACCCAACTCAGCCAGTACCAATGTTGCCACCCGATGAACCTGATGTGTATTCAAAAGGGGTCAGTTATAGTAAACCAGTCATCTATAAAAAACCACCTACAATTACTACACCACAGAGCTTTTACCAACCACCTGCACCTTGGCAAAGTGGAGTTGATGATACTGATATTCTTGAAAACACTGCAGGTCGAAGACCCAGTTACGCAAGAAGTAACATCTCCATAGACAAAAGCGATCTGCCGGATCCCATCAGTGAGCTACAAGCGATAGCTAGAGCGAGACAAACGACAGAAGATGAAGACGATGAACCTCCTTTTAATTTTCAGGCTTTATTAAAGAAAACACCAAAGAATAGAGCTTCCATGAAACGGCATAGAGAAGCTCGTTCAGACCATGACGATTCTTCCACTCCACGTTATGTCACCACTTCTTATGGGCCACCTGTGCCTAGAAAAACTTTTTCACCGAGTGAAGCCTCCTCGGTAGTAATGTCCCCAACCCATTCTATTGCCTCAAGCAGAGGCCCTCCTAAATACGAATTCGACAGAGGATACTCTCAGGAATTCGATAGCAATAGTTTTAGGAAGAGTGGACCTAGGCAAAATATGAATTACAGAGACAATAAAGATGAAACTGAAACTATTGAAATAGCTCCAGGTATCACTGTAGAGGGAGCTGTGGCAGATTTATAAGTAAAAGTATCATTGGCTTTATAAAAAATATATTTAATCTCCATTCGACATAATTCTACATACATAAACTATAAATTACGTCATCATTCAATTAATCATCTGATATATTAAAGCCATGTATTACGTGTTGTTTAGTACATAGAATTTGTTATAATTTTTTCCTTCAATATTTTAGTCATATTAAATACAAATTTTCCAAATCTTATAGCGAGTATCAAACAGTATCAAAAAAATTACTTCGCAAAATATTCACTTATAATTAATTATATCATATATAAAAATATATATCAAACCTTAAATTACACATTATTCGAAATTGCTTTGGTAACTTAATTATTTTTAGAAGAATAGGTGAAAACTATAGTAGGTTATAAGAATGTTTTGCTATGGTCCTCTGAAACCTGCATTTCGGAATATAAACATAGTATAATATGGCAAATAAGTTACTATAAAAACATATGCTTTATCTCATCGAGTAATAAAATTAACAGTGTGTTTATGAGTTTCATTTAATATTTCCAACAACTCTAAATAAAATAATAATATAGATAAGTTGTACAGCTCTTATAAAATATCCAAATATTTTTGTTAACCCTAAGTACTATAAAACCCTTTTCACATTGCTTTTAAATATAATGTACTCCAAATATAAATAATTCGGTTACTGTAACAGTTTTTACGTATACACCAAAAACTATTATAGATTGAAGCTCTCATTTTATCCAGATATGTTTCTCATAAGAAATATTTATCAATACCTTACAAAATATGGCCAGAGTATATATTTATGGACTGTTTCTTTCTTATAATCTGTGTTAAATATAAAACAAAAATGGAACAATATAAAAAATTAGCATCGTTTCAATATTACAAAAATACAATTGTACACTTATGAAATTTTCTCCATTTTTTTTTTTCAATATAATCTTCCTAAAACTTTTATGAAAATACCATTTTTTAAATCTCTACAAATCACATTGTAAAATTATTGCCGTATAGTATTAATTGACTTACATCTAGTTAATTCAAATTGCAGTATAAAAATATACTTTCATACAAACAATTGCTTGTATTCTTATTCTAAATTATTTCAGTCAATAATCAGAAGCCATTAAGTTCAAATATTCTGTTGAGTAATTCAGAAGCATTTTTTTAAATCCTAGACATATTAAATGTCTAACAGAAAATTAGTTATCTTATATAGACAAGACTAGTAAATGTTTAAAAAGAACGAATGTACACTAGTATGGCAGTTAAACAAAAACAAAACAAAATCAAGTTGTAAAAATGTTAATTTGGCATACAACATGCATCTTACTCGACTAAACGTTTGACTTGTTGAGTTGAGATCATCATTCATATATATAGTTACTTAAACTACTTAGACTTAGGAGTATTAAAAAAATATTATTAGTATATCACTAATTTCATAATGCCCAAAATTTACACATTAATATCAGACATTTGTTATTAATCAGTAAGAAAGCTGTAGATACATTGTTTCACACATTTTTAATAGGCAATTGACTTTGGTCATATATTTTCCATAACATATTAATGGAATTTTTATAGAATCAATTTTACATCTCCATGGATTTAAAAATGGTTGAATACTTAAATTGTTATTAGAAATATGAGTATAAAAAGTTCCTACCTTCAGCATATAGAATTACTAAATTTTATTGGATAGTGGAGTGTTGTACAAGAAGAAATAATTATTTCCTGTATGGCTACTACAATTAAAAGAAATAAAAGAAAATATACAACAGATAATAAGTCCTACGTGTTATGAAATTAAAAAGATTACCTTAAATTAGTGACTTTGTTAAAATAGTAGTAAATTTCATTATCAGTGTTTTAAAATATTTTAAATAAAGCTATCAGTGCTAAGCAAATGATAAATTGTATAAAGTTAAAAGTAAAGAAAATGTGAAGAGAATTAAAAGAATTACTATTGAAATGGTACTTCAAGTTTATATGCCAATCAAGGAAGAATATCAACTTATCATTTTATTCAGATGCCTTATTCATATCTCCCAATATGACAGTGATTATATAAATATCTATTAAAAACAAAATCAGTTTAATATGTTCTTAATAAACATGTGATAACGGAAATGTTTTCAAGCACAATGTCTTTCATATATGATCATAATAACATTGGTAAGGTCATTAGGTTTTTCATCATAAGTATACTCGTAGATTTTGGTTTTAAATCTACAGCCCTAATTATATAATCATAAAAACCTTATTGCATTAGTAGTTTCAACCTACCTAGTTTGCCTTTTCACCACTATCAATACCAACTTGGCCCAATAACTGGGCCACACTCGGTTCATTCAACGTCAGTACAGCATGAGCTTCAACCATTACAACGAGTGAATTCCTAGCTTCCTCATGAGGAACGCCATGGGATCTTGTGGCATGGGAATACCAAGCTCCGGTTGATGGCAGAATAGATACACACCACTTACAGGATAATCTGGAATTATACGTTTATACAATTACAATATATACCAATGGACCCGGCACCCGCACGGTGAATCCATGGAATGCTGAGAAGTTTCGTCTCTTATGAAACACCATGTTAGTAATATAGGGTGTCCCAACTAGAACGCAATTTTTAAATTTTAAATAAATCACAGATATTAAAAAAAAATATCGTGAAACTTTATTATATCGTAAAGTAGATAGAATGAGGTTATGTATGGAACAAGATATCGTGCAGATGGCCGCCGCAGCTTTGCAGGCACACGCGCGAACTTTGAATGAAATTTTCTAGGACCTTTTTTCATAAATACTGCGGTATTTCATTAATACAGCGTCCAATTTCCTCTTTTAAGGCTTGAGTCGTCGTCGGCTTATTCGCGTGAATCATCGACTTCAAAAAACCCCAAAGAAAAAAATCTAAAGGTGTTAAATCGCACGATCTAGGCGGCCTATTCTGGTCTCCAAAACGGGCAATAACATGACCAGAAAATGACTGATGCAGCAATTGAATTGTTTCTCTGGCTGTATGACATGTGGCGCCGACTTGTTGAAACCACATGCCGTCCACATTCATTTCTTCGATTCTAGGCAAGAAAAAACTGGTAATCATTTCACGATATCGAACACATTTGCATTGTTGTTGTTGTCTTTACATCACTAACAGACAAATTTATTCATTAATCTCTTTACAGTTGACTCTTTTTGAGTAATTTGCGAACTGTAGCCGCAAAACTTTCACCACCTTGGTAAAACAATTTTACAATGAGAATGCGTTGTTCATTCGTGTAGAGCTCCATTTTTACAAACCTTGTACCTTCTACAAGCAAATAATAACAATTGTTCAAATGTCAAACAATGGCACTTAAAATGGAGCCAAAGTTAAAAATTGCGTTCTAGTTGGGACACCCGTTACAATGAAATAATGATTTGTATCAAATAATTGTGAAAATGTTGCAGCTTAAATGATACTTATATGAAAAATAAAATTTAAATTATATTTAGTAAGAGTTATCCTTATATGTCAGGTTCTAAAAGCTTATTTGCTATACATATGTTATATTGTAGTAATAAAATCATTAAATACATAAATTGCAAAAAACTTTTTGTAATTGTAATACATATAATGTTTTTTGTGATTCTAATACATATAATTATAATTTTTTACAAGCCAATCCAGGCAAGCAAGGGTAAAAGCTAATTTGACATTACACTTTGAAAATTAATTTACAAAGCCAATATATCTTTACTATTTGATATAAAATGTATATCCTATAATTTAATAATCTTATTTAAATGGTATACCTATTGGTCATATGTCTGGATTTCACATGTCGTCTGCGGTAACCCCAAGAATTATAAACTCGTGGACAAAAAGGGCATGGGAAGGACGGGTTTGCATAACAGGTACTTGTTTTATCTGAAAAAGTTTAATGACTGTATTGAATATAAAAGATGTTAATATACTATTAATATTATTAAATGTTCTGAAAGTAATATTAAGATATAATAAAATGAAAGAATATACTAACTTTATTGATTGTTGTAAGTTTTAAAATATATGATATAGTAAACTGTGTAATAATTGATTGTGTTTTATAGTAATTGAAATAAATGACTAGGCATAACTTATAAATATAACAAAAAAAGAGACATCCAATACCTTTCATACTGTGAGCCTCACTAGAAACAAAATTCAAATTCTCAGTTGTTATACTCAATGACTCTACAATAGTTCCACTTTGCAGTACAGTTTCAACTTCTTTATCAATTTCAAGTTCTTTTTCATCTTCTTGGTCAACATTTTTCTCAACATTCAGACAAGGCTGTGTGCTGCTAACTTCATTAATCCATTTCTTCACATTAGAATCACTTACACCCTTGGTACACACAGATTTGCTTGTACGATTTTCTGGGCTTATAGAATATTTTTTTTCCAATGTATCTTCAAGAACAGCAATATCGGTGTCAGTAGTATTTTCTCCGGAGTAATCAGTTAATGGTGAATCCACAGGTTCAACTTTTGGCATTATTTGCTAAAGAATCATAGGCACATTTACATACACATTAGTGAAATGCAGAACATAATTATTATGCAAATTAAATATATAAACTTATTTACTCACAGGAGTCTTCAAAAGGTCACATGTTGGTACTGCAGCAACTGAATCTGGTTTGGGAGGACTAGGAGCTGCCTTCTTACTTTTATTATTGCTATCGTCCAATTCACTCTTCTTGCGTTTCTTTGACAAAGACTGTGTTGATGTTGCAGTTTTCTATAATTTATAACAAAAATAAATATATTGTTACCTAAAATTATGTCGAATAAATAAAGATGAATTAGATATTACCTCATCATCCCTATCTTTAGTAGCATCATTACCAGCAGATAGACCACATATTCTCAAACTCTCAGCAGTCTTGAGAAGTACTGGTAGAAACTCCTCAGTTACATTAACCTCTCCATTGTACATAAACTTCAACAAAGTTTTCAATGAATCCGTGTTGATGTCATGGAGCACTATAATTGGATCTTTCTGGGGGTTTTGCTGTAGAAAAACGTGTGGGCGTTATATCAAAATTCGTTGCCCTTTAAAGGTTATGACTTTGTTTAAATATTAAAAATATATAATTTTCTTATTACCTGAAAGATAGTTCTAAATACAGAACTATTTGCCGACAGGATAATTTTATGAGCTTTAAAACTTTGTCCCTCCGAAACAAGTGTGACGTCGGATAAATTTTCATCCTTAAATAATTCCTTAACATTACACAGAATATTATTTTGATACCCATTCCACTTTAAACTGATTTCTTGGTTTGCCATTGTAAGTCTTCATACAGCAAGTTTGTTTATAAAGAAAGATAAAAACAAACAAATAATAAAAATGCTTGAACATTGAAGGAGTCCGATGAAAGACAAGAGAGACAACAACTTTGGTGTTACCACTAGTGTTTTGATTTACAAGTTAATTAACACAAAGGCAAACAAAATGCTTGATAAAACTTTTTAAGATAACGTTTTTTTTATACTTATGTTGTAAACATCATCATCACTAAATACAGAAAATAACAAATGCAATAGAAAAGGAAAATAATAAACTGTCAAGAAAATAAATAAACGGAATATGGTATCCCTTTTTCAAACAATCTGTAGACTGTATTCGTGAAAAACTATTGACATATGATATTCTGCATAAAAAATATTTTTGATTTAAACTAATAAAAAAAAACTTATTTTTTAATTGTACACTGTATTTCGTAATATTCACAGAACCATAATATGTCGTTGTCTCTACAATTCTACGTCACATTGTTTGCTCTCTGGCAACTTTTAACTAAATAATATAGATATGGATAGCTATATAAATATTAAATTATCAAAATATTTTATTTATACGACATTTGCAATGGAACTTTATGTACAGAGGACATTTTTTAAATATTATTAATAAAATTTTACGTGCCACACACACAAAGCATCTTTCAATACTTTTAAATTACATCCATTTTGTAGCTCCTTACATGGAAAATAACATAAATGTATGTTTTAAACTTACCTACCTGAATATTTAAAACATTTTGCTCTTATAAATTATAAAAACGTATTATTTTATACACGTTGTTATAAAGATACTTTAAAATATGTTATATCTGTATTCGTCGTGTGCGCTATTTTAAGTATAAAATCTAGTGATTTAACAAGTTCAAATTTCGTTTAGTACAACCACTTAATGGATTTTAAAATGAGACTGAAAATAGAAAGATTCATGAAGAATCAGAGACCAGTTATTCTATTCCACAGTATAAAAAAGAAAACTGTTTTAGATATGTTAATTCTTCATTTCCATTACCATTTTAAATGTTTACATCGTCAGGTTATATACGATGAGTTTCAACTTTTGATTCACAAATCTGCGTAGATACATGATATTATTATTATTTTAAAGCAAAAGGTGGCAAACGACCAAACTGCTTACTGGATTGAAGATAGGGCATCTTATGGGCATCTGCAACATAAAGGATGTTGCGAGTGCGTTTCGACCTTGATTGTGGAAGAGGGAGAGGAAAGAGCGGAAAAGGCAAAGGGCAACCGGCTCTCTCCATTATCGGAAGAAACACAGTCATTAAAAGCTACTTCAAGGAAATTTTCTGTGCGAGGGTGGTCCTTCCCCGGTCGAGTCAGCTCATGTTTGAAGTGTAGTAACTGACCATAGATAGTGTACGTTTAGGACTATGGGTGCGAAACTGGAAACGATACATTATTTAGGTGTTAACTTGGTAATGGGTAAAGATGCTGTATTTAGTTTAGACCAATCTTAATTGTAGTAAATGTAGGATTTATATGGAATTATTATCAATTTAATTATTATAACCCTCACGAAAAATGCTTAATTTAAAGATTTCGGTAAAAGATATAGGTACCTATGTATTTACGTGTATTAGGTAAGTATCTGAAAATATTATTTGATGTAGTCATTTTTATTTTGTATTGTATGTATTAATTTTGTTTTCAAGGAATCTTCCAGAGCCAATAAATCAGGAGAAATCAGAATTATATAGAGATTAAATGTTTTCTCATTATGTTAGTGACAGCTTTTGCAATCGTCAAATAATAAATTTACTATAAAATTTCAGTTTAAAAATTTAAAACAGTTGCTAATATATAACTGTGTCTAATACATTTTTAATAAGTACCTAACCTATTAAAAAATAGTTTTTCTCCACCTTTGTTTGCATTTAACTGTTATTGAATACTTTGGAAGTATTTTGTATTATTAATCTTTTGATAAATATCATAAATATTATATTTGTGACTAGTAATTCACTAAAATATTAGAATACGTGTTTTAAGTAACTTATAGACCTATTTTTAATATACATTAATAGTACAAACTCACTGATGCCAATGTTATTGAATCCTCAGTTATTTTTGCATGATAAAAATTAAAAACATTAAAAAAAGTTGCCATAAAAATGTTAATTGTAGGTACATATTATTGGTACTAAGTATTGTTCGTGAGAAGCAACAATTTTTTTTTCTTTCTAATACATATTTATAGCAAAAATTACAATAATTTCAAAGCGCACAAGCCCTTAAATTAATTCTTAAATATTTTTTTAATTATAAGGCCGAAGCCATGTCTTTATTTAAATTGTTTTTCTTTGTACAAATCTTGTTTTTTTACATTCCGTCTTTTATCAATGTCAAGTCTTTGTAAGTTTGTAATGTCATTTATAAATTATAGTACAATGCATTTGTCAATGTCAATTTGTCGCGCATAGCTCGCATCGCATAGAGCGCGGGATATCTTCAGCAGTTTTAAAAATATTTAAAAATTGGTCTACAAGGGTCCTTTGAATACTAAACTGTGGACAATCAAAAAATATATGTTCGAGGGTTTCATCTATTGGAATATCTACAAATTGAAGAGTCAAAAATACCAATCCTAAAAAGGTGAGCACGAAAACTGCTGTCCTAGACGCAAACGACAGATTGTGGTATAATACTTTCTATGGCTAAAGTCGCTACCCAAGCTAAACCACGGGGAAGAGACCTTTTTATTTATTGTATCTAACCAGTTTCCTGTTACTTTTACCACCTGATGCCATAAGTTGTAAAGTTCTTCCTGTAACGTGAGTTTGAAAAGAGATAGAGCGTCTGAAGAATGAATTGCGAAATTTAAAAAGCTATGACTTAATTGATCATGGGTCGGAGTTGCAATAAATTTAGCTAAATAGTCTGCTTGCTCATTACCATGCACACCAATGTGGGCTAGTGTCCAGACTAGAACTGTTTGCTTGTTTTGATACAGCAAGTGACAACTCTCTTATTTTATATTATATATAATATAAAATAAGAGAGTTGTCACTTGCTGTATGTAGTTTTTGATTTTCATTGTGGATTTTGTAGTGCCATTAATAAACTTAAACTGTCCGTTATTATAATCTACTTTTGATGAGTCTGTGTTTGAATGTGCTCCATAGCTGTGTATACAGCTATTCAGTGGAGTACATGCTTGTGTTTGGATTCAGCCCATGACCAAACCCACTTTTGATCTGACTATCATAGACAGCTATAGAGACTGCTTCATTGTTCCTAGACCCATCTGTATACATCTGATAATATCCCTGCCACCTATCAAGTTCCCTATAAATGTCTACCTTATACTTTAGAAGATTTTTGGCTACAATTTTAATCTGAATAAATTTTGATTCATATAACCCAGAGTAACAAGGCCATACCATGCTAGAAAAAATATTGTATATAATATAAAAATTTGTTCTGTTTCAGAAAAAACCTTGAAACAAATATGAATTAATATTGGCAACAGTACTTAGTGTCAAGCAGTTTAACAAGAAGTGGATGATTACTAATGGAGAGCATCCTTGTAAAAAATTTTGATTGTAAGTATTTAAACCAAAGTGCTAATGGAGGTATATTACATTCCACCTGCATTGACACTTTGAGAGTAGTTCGCATGGCACCCATTATAATACGCAAACATTTCTTTTGTATCTTTTCTAATTTTTCCACTACAGTTCTTACCCCTGCAAAACAAAAAAAGCATATCAAAATGACTCCTTACTAATGATTTATACAATGTTAATAAAATCCTTGGATCAGCACCCCAATATGTGCCTTTTGAAGATTTTAAAACATTACAAGCGTTTAAAGCTTGAGATTCTAGAATTTCAGCATACTTATTCCATCTAGAATTGTTTGTAAAAATAACACCTAATAACTTTACACAGCTCTCTACAAACATTACATTATTATTGAACAAAATAGATATTATAATACATACAAATACATTCCTATTTCTAATACCATTTTTTGAAAAGACAACAACTTTTTCATTGTAGACCTCCAGGCCAAGGCTATCAAAATAGTTCTTTAGTCTTTGGAGAGCAACATTGAGGACTGATTGTACACCTGAAAAAATTGTATCAGAGCAATAAACAACTAAATCATCTGCAAACTGCAGATTAGAAACTTCACACCCCAGAGTTGAATTTAGCTAATGTATGAATAGGATAAAAAGCAGTGAGCTCAATACACCACGTTGTGATACACCCCTACAAGAATGTCTTAGACCAAATAATTGATTGTTAACCTTAACATACACTTTTCTGTAGTTCAAAAAATTAAAAATCCAATTTACATCTTTTCCAGGTACCCGTAGTAATAATAAAATTTGTTCAGATCTACATTATTGAGAGCCCCTATAATGTCAAGAAAAACTCCAACTAGTACTTTAATCTCGGAACGAGCATTGTGGATATCCAGACAAATGATGTAGACTCTCACAAGCAGAACGGCCACAACAAAAGCCAAACTGATTGTAAGGTAAAAGATTGTTACTTTCTATATGAAAAATTTTTCCAACACATGAACTAAGTGTAATAGGACGATAAGAATCAGCCAAATTAAAGTGTTAGCCAGGTTTTAATATTGGTACCAAACAGTCAGTTATCCAATCCTCTGGGATAATAGAAGACAACCATAGACTATTTAACAAACTTAAGAAAATAGATAGATTTTGAACATTTAAAAGTTTAAACATTCTATAGGAAAGCCAATCCAGACCACATGAGGAATCTTTTCTAAAGGCTAACACAGATTTTAAATAACAGTTTTTATCACAGAAACAGTATCAGGTGTGTAGTTATATAAAAATGTTTGAACCCAATTGAGGTCAGAAAATAAATTAGATCCCGGAAAGCAGTTTTGAATTTTCTCATTTTAGCCCAAATGCCACTTATTGATGTCAAACGATTTATTGAGGAGCAGAATTCAGACTAACTTTTATTACGTTCTTCTTT